TTGTGCATATATATATATTATATATATATATATATATATATATATATATATATATATATATATATACATATATATATATATATATATATATATATATATATATATATATATATATATATATATACATATATGCCAACTCTGACATAAAACGCCCACTGCCTTGGGACTCTTGGTTGAGTAAAGGTTAGAGATGGCATCTCAATAAAAATGCTCATCTTGGGCAGATGTTAAATGCATCCGGCTACTGCCTTGTAGAAGGGCTCCTAGGCAGCCTCGCACCCCTTTTTCATCTATTAAGCTAGTGCAGATGTATTTTTAATACATTGCTTGCAGTTTAGGATTTTGAATGCTGAATCTTTTTTACTTGATGCATGGGTTTTGCTTGTAACATTAATTTATCATTCTATTATCTCCTAATGAGGGTACAGCTCGAAAACTCAGTTTTATGGTTTTTGAGGCCGGCTGGTAGTCAGGTCTCCCAAACTCTGTGGTTGCTCTCAGAGAGGCTGATTCCATCAACAGCTGAAAAATATCAAAGTATTAAAAGTACCATGTTGCGCATGGATGGTGTCCCTGTTTGTACTTTTGGTGTGCATTGGAGCCCTTTGTTATGGGTTAGGGTTTATTAATAGTAATAAGGCAATTGCTTGGGCTATTAAACAGTGTACTGAGTACTATCTATGCTTCGAGCCAAGTTCTTTAACAAATTTAAAAATGAACCATTATCATCATCAAGTTCTCTAAACCTATCATTCACTAATATTTGTGGTAACTTTTCTTCGAAGTAACTTTTCTTCTGTTGAGTAACTTAACTTCGAAGAAACTTTTCTTCTGTTGAGTATATCTTTTGCAAAGTTCACCAGATCTACTTGTTCTTAATGAGACTAATTTGAGTTTGGCTGTCTCATCTTGTGATCTTAGTGTTGATGGTTACCTTACTTAATTTGTAAAGACTCCAATAGTCACATGCTTGGCCTGGGCATTTACATTTGTAAGAATTCACCCATTTGTCGACAAAGTAGTTTTGAATCCACAGACTACTCTTTTATGTGCTTTCCTTTAGCAGCCCTTCACTCTATCGCCTTTCTCTTTGCTCTATATCGCTCTCCTGCATCTCAAGACGACACTCTTCTTGATGTTATTTCTGATCATATTGACCAAGCCATCTCTCTTTATCCATCAGCCAATATTGTTGTTGTCGGTGACTTTAATGCTCATCACACTGAATGGCTTGGCTCTAGTGTCAGAGACTCTGCAGGCATTAAAGCCCACAACTTTTGCCTTTCTCAATTCCTAACTCAAATAGTTAACTTTCCACCTCACTTTCCAGACAATCCGAATCATTTACATTCTCTACTCGATATATGTCTTGTTTCTGATCCTAGTCAGTGCTCAGATTCTCCACATTCACCCTTAGGTGCTTCAGATCACAGTTTGATCTCATAAAATTATTATCTCATTCTTCTTCATCATCTAAATCCCCCTATCATCGTACCTCTTACAACTACCTCAAAGCTGACTGGGATTCTTTCTGTGATTTTCTTGTGATGGCCTTTGGGTAGAAATCTTTCATCTTCCTGTTAAAAATGTGCTTCTTACATAATTTTGTGGATTCAGGCTGGCATGGAGTCCTTTATTCCATCTTGACGATTCCAGGTCAAGCCTCACTCTTCTTCATGGTTTTCCTCACATTGTGCTGCTGCAATTGCCAATCAAAACCATTACTTTCATATCTATCAGCAAAATATTTCTCTAGAAAACAGACATCTATTCATTACTGCTAGAAACCATTGTAAAAAGGATTTGTCTAATGCCAAAGCCCATTATTCTCAGGTCATGAAATCTTGTATTTCATCACAAAAATTAGGCTCTAGTGACTTCTGGAGAATCTTTAATAGTATCAATGATTAGGGTAAATCTGTAATTCCACCTCTCTTGTATAGTTCAGACTTTGTCACCTCACCTAAAGACAAAGCTGAATTGTTTGGTAAGAACTTTTCATCAATATTATATCCTGATTCCACTAGTTGCGTTCTACCTGATATAGCCGTCAAACAGGTTGATCGATTGCTTGACATTTATATCTCTCCAGCTTCTGTATTTAAAGTGATTTCCTGCTGAGACTCTTCTACAGCTTGTGGCCCTGACAACATAACTGTTATAGTCTTGCAGAAGTGTTCTCCGAAGCTGTCATCAATACTTTCAAAAATATTCAACAAGTGCTTATAAGAGTCTTGTTTTCCAACCTGCTGGAAAGCAGCATTTGTTATTTCTATTTTTAAAAATTCTGGAGAACGATCTGATTCGTTTAACTACTGTCCCATTAGTCTTTTTCCTATCATAAGCAAGGTTTTTGAATCTTTAATTAAACAAACACTTAATCTCTCATCTTTAATTAAACAAACACTTAATCTCTCATCTTGAATCTAATAACTTAATTTCTGATCATCAATATGGATTTTGATCTTCTTGTTCTATGGCTAATTTGCTAACAGTAATAACCAATAGGTTTTGTCTTGCATTCGATAAAGGTGGAGAGTTTATGGCTTTTGACATTTCTAAAGCTTTTGATAAAGTTTGGCATGCTGATTTTCTCCATAAGCTTTCTTTTCACAGTGTATCTGGAAACGTCTTTATGATTATTGAATCCTTCCTTTCCAATTGTAGTATGAAAGTTGTCCTCTTCTTCTTATTCTGTCTCTTCTAACTCTTTTTCTTATTCTGTAACCTTTTGTAATCAACTTGTTTCTCCACGCAGCGACCTTGTTTGTCAAAGTTTGTGTTTTGGAGTTAAAGAGTTGGGAGAGGGTTACAACCACAAGTAGCCTCCTACATCTGTAGTGGCCTTCTTGGCCTTGGAAAGGTAAAGTACAAAAAAAAACTTCAGGGGTTCCTCAAGGTTCAATCCTTAGTCCTATACTCTTTTTAATTTACATTAACAATCTTCCAGATATTTTCACATCTAAGGTGACATTGTTCGCTGATGATACTACCATTTATTCTTGTCATGATAAGAAGCCAACACTCTCTGATTGCTTGGAGGGGCATTTCAGCTTGAAAAGGATTTCACATCTGCTACAGCACGGAACTCACACTGGCTGGTGAACTTCAGATAAAACCCAATTTTTTCAGTTAATTGTTATTGCAATAATTTAGACCTTCCTTTGTTCATGAACAACAATGTACTCAATGAGTCATCTACCCTTCATCTTCTAGGATTAACTCTTACTTCCGATCTTTCTTGGAAACCATATATCAAATCCATTACAAAATTAGCATCTGCTAAAGTCGCTTCTCTTTATCGAGCTCGTCACTTTCTTACTCTGCAAAATTAGCATCTGCTAAGGTTGCCTTACTCCAGATTCTATTCTCTATAAATCTCTATAAATCTCAAATCTGCCTTGTATGGAATACTGTTGCCATATCTGGGGCGGATCTTCTAATGATGCCCTTTCTCTTTTAAACAAGGTGCAAAAGCGCATTATAAACATAGTTGGACCTGCTCTTGCAGCCAACCTTCAACAATTATGACATTGTCGTAATGTTGCTTCTCATTCTCTTTTCTACAAAATTAGAGCACTGCTCTAAACCGCTTGCGTCTTTTGTGCTATCTACTAAAATTCATTCTCATGTTACTTGTCATTCAATTAAGTCTCATCTTTTTTCTGTGACTGTTCTTAAGTGCTCTAAAAACTCTTTTTCCTCTAGTTTTTTTCCTCGAACAACAGTTCTTTGGAATTCGCTTCCTTCATTTTACTTTCCTGATTCATACAATTTGCAATCTTTTAAGTCATCTGTCAATCGTTACCTTGCTCTACAATCTTCATATTTTCTCTTCAAGTAACTTCCAACTTTAATTAGCAGTTGCTTGCAGCCTTGTTGGAAGCAAAGATGTTTAAATACATATATATATATATATATATATATATATATATATATATATATATATATATATATATATATATATATATATATATATATATATATATATGTATATATATATATATATATATATATATATATATATATCAAGGTGTCAACTAGCGATATAACTAGAAATACCACCTTTGACGGGGCCTGTGGGGCCCGTCAAAGGCGGTATTAAAATCTAATAGAAAAAACACAAAAAATACTATTAAAATCTAATAGAAAAAATACAAAAAATACTATTAAAATATAATAGAAAAAACACAAAAAATTATAATTTATTATTTAAAACTCGAAATAAAATTGCCATTATTGGTAAAACTAGGCGCTTGCATAACTACAAATATGTCTTTCTGAAAAAAACCTTTTAAGAATTTGTCAGCCGAAAACCAAGAGGCTGTAAGTCCACTTTTTGTGGGTTTTTTCTGTTTATTATCAATGAATATTTAACATTTAATGGGGTATGTGTCCAATAAATCTAGTCTCAAGAATGATACAACTTTTTAAAATTTCTAAAAAATAAGTTGGACATTCTGGCACAAAGTCTTGTTTACAAATTAATAAAATTACAAATTTCTAAACAATTAAAAAAAATTACTAATTTGTTTGGTTTAACACCCACAAATTCTATTTCTTTTTGGCTGAAAAATTAAATTTGTTAAATGTTTTTTGATTATAACCAACTAGTTCTAGAAATTTATTTAATGAGGAAATAAGATTTCCTTACTTTACTGGTTGCTTATATAACTTATTTATAACGTAAAATAAATATTTATAACGTAAATTAAATACCTATAATAACAAGAATACTTTTTTTTAATAAAAACTAAAAATTTAAAAAACAAGAAAACTAGATTCAATTGAATTTAAAACATAAAAATACTGCTTACTTGAATTTAAAACATAAAAGCAAATTTAAATGTTTCAATGAACCATAGCAATAATAACATTTTATGACTATGCATGAAAAAATAATTATTGGCATTCTTCAATGCCACGATAGTGTGCAATCGCTTGCAATCTTTTGTAATTCTTTTGTAATTAAACATTTGTTGTTGTTTTTGGTCAGACTTTGTCATTGTGAATTTATTTCTCTATGCGTTTTATGTATAAAGAAAGTTAATACTAATTATAAAATTGAACTTTTTTTTTCAAATATTTATTTAGTAACGGTTTATTCTAATTATGTGTATAATGAAAATTTTATGTATTTATTGCTTATTTAAAAGTGCTTTTTGTTTAAGTTCTCACAAATATTTATTTAAAGCATTAGACAAAAAGTTTTTCAGATATTTTTGTGCCTATCCAATAGGACGTAAAAAAGATATTCAATCATTTAGAGCAAATTGTAACACAAGTTGTGTCAATTGATTAGATTTCTGCAATTAGATTCACAGTTAACCAAAAACAAATCATTGGAATTGATAACTACTAACAGATAATGTCCTTGTTTTGCTCAAGGAAACTCTTTGAAATAATTTATTTTATTTTATCATAAATTCAAACTAAGAATAAAAATTATATTAATGAATTTTGCACTTTTTCATACAACTTTCATTCATATTAAAATTAAGAAAACTATATACTATTCTCATGTTATCATGATAAATATGATTTAATATATACTATTCTCATGTTATCATGATAAATATGATTTAATATATACTATTCTCATGTTATCATGATAAATATGATTTAATATAACACAAAAATTAATATTTTATTAAAAAATTAGACAAAATAAAGACAAAATATTTTACTTTATTTTCAATAAAATCATTCATTATTTTATTTTCTTCTTCTTGCAATGCATTTTCTAAAATCATCTTTTCAGCCATAATTGTATTTATGAGATTGTTATAGTCTCCAACAGAAAATGTCATCGGCGATCCATCTTTGTTTAACTTATTGGCATTTATCATTAAAGGATCATTTAACAGTCCTCCTGACCAAGATAATGCTCCAGTAAATTTTTCTTTCATGTTATTATTGGATGAGAAATCAAAGCTATCAATATCAGCATTTTGATAAGTTGGAAAATCAACAGATTGGTTTTGATATAGCATTGGGGTTGCATGCACTGGTAAAGAGATATCTTTTTCGTTTGTAACTCTGCTCCAGCTCCCTAAATACAAATAAGTTGTGTAATAAATTTCACTTAGGTCAATTTACCTTGATATTGTTAAAAAAGTAGACTTCCTGAAGTTACTGCTTATAAGGTAATTTTTTTTAATACTTTTTTTTAATACTCTTCCCCAATCTCTCATCTCTCATACTTCAAAGTAGTAATCTTGGCAAAGAAACTTATATTTTTTATAGAAAAAAAAAAAAAAAAAATTCACATACTATTTTAACAACAAAATACATATACTATTATAACATATTTAACATATTTAACATATTTAACTTTGAAGAGTTGTTTTATTAGACTAATAATACTGTTTTACATTTACTAAAATACTACTTTTAAAGATGGTGAAAATATTCATTATATGGCGTAAAATATGAATTTCAGCAGCCTAATTGTTGACGTTGTTAGCGCTTAACGAGGGAAAATTTACAATATTTACAACTTCGCTTCAACATTTCCTAAGGTATAAACTGCTGCCAAAAAAAAAGCTAAAAAAAAGTTCAAAACTTGGTCAAAAGACTACCAGCTAATAAAACAAAACAAAAAGTAGATCTCCTTATATAATTTTTATTGACCTCCTAAAATACATTTACTTTTAAAATAAAGTGAAAACTATTTAAACCCTATTTTTTACATTGTATTACCATCAAATATCTAATTTGATGCGGTAGTGGTGTAGTGGTAGAGCGCTCGCTTCATAAACGAGTGGTTCCGAGTTCGATCCCCACCACGTCCCTGGTAGTACCGCGCTCAACTCGTTTCTCCGCGCAGCGGCCTTGTTCGTCAAGGTTCATGTTTCGGAGTTATAGAGTTAAGAGAGGGTTATAGCCACAAATAAGTAGCCTCCTCGTCTGTAGTGGCCTTCTCGGCCTTGAGGAGGTAAATTAAAATAAAAAAAAATAAAAAAAATTGTATTTTAAGAAATGTTTTTATGATATTCTTCAACGAAAAGATTATTAATAAATAAAAAATAATAAAAAAAATAGCTCAATGTACTCTTTTAATACAAATACTCTATAATACTACTTTTAAAGATGGTGAAAATATTCATTATACGCCGTAAAATATGAATTTCAGCAGCCTAATTTCTAATAACTCAAATGATGTTCTTTAAAGATGCTTACTGTTTAGATCAATTATGCAGCACAACAATCTTTCTTTGTACTCTGATGATTATTATTTTGCTTCGACCAATGTTGATAAACAAAAAAACACACAAAAAGGCTGCAGTAAAATACCAGAAGTTAAAACAAAAATTTTAAAGAAAGCAAAATAAAAAAGCAAGTTATATGAATCGAAAAATACAACAAGAGAAGAGAATTCCAAAGCGCCAATGTAAGTGTAAAAAAAAAAGAAAAGAAAAAGATTAATAAAAGTTTTCTATTATAGAGATGAAGAATTATATTATTGTTGTTGGGAGCTTGGATGGAACCTTGCGGTTACTGGAAACACAAAAATGTTGTCTATCAAGATTAACTTTAATATTACAGAGAAAGGAATTTAAATATTTTAAAAACATTTTTCTGATGACATATTTGGAAAGCTTATGAAGAAGACCAATCATACTAGATTTTTTAAAAGACTTAGGTATATAGAATGTATAGAACCTTACTTCTTGTTTCTAAAATAAACCATAAAACATTTCAGCTATTTACCTTTAATAAATCAGGAGTTAAACAAAAAGATCCATATAATATGAAGAACCATATAAATGGTCACAAAGTAAGCTGTCTGATTCAAGGTGAGATGCAAAGAATTTGTTTAAGACTCAAAGAACTTGTTAACACTAGTAATAAGACAATTAAACAAAAGTTGGAGCAATGAGACAATGAGTTGCAATGAGTCTAATGAGTTGTTCAGATTTGATTTCTGGCAGGTATAATACAGATTTTTAAATAAAATTACGGATTTCTGGCAGGTATAATACAGATTTTTAAATGTAAATACAGATTTCTGGCAGGTAGGAAATTAAGATTAGGACCACAGGATGTAAAATAATCTGAATAAGAGACAATATTAACTACAAAATTCGTGTGAGTGACAAAGAGATAATTTGTTTGTCAAGGTCGTCTGGAAAAGTGTACTCATTAAAATTAAAAAATGAACCGGAAAACTTAAATTGGAAAAGTTTTTGTAAAAATTTAACCTTGCTCTTGAGAGAGTTAATATAATCTAGCCCATACATAATTATGCAGCCATGCATAATTATGCAGCCATGCATAATTATGCAGCCATGCATAATTATGCAGCCATGCATAATTATGCAGCCATGCATAATTATGCAGCCATGCATAATTATGCAGCCATGCATAATTATGCAGCCATGCATAAGAGATGAAAAAAGACATTTGTTCTCAGAAGAATTAGTAAAATGAAAAAAGGTGGAATAAAAAATTGCAATTAGAAATACAGCTAGACATGGCAAAAATCACTGAGAGGAATTTCGTTTGTATAAAATCTATGAGAAGAAACAAAAAATTCTATACTTGCCTGAATCCAAGTGGTAAAATGAAAGAAACAGGAAGAGATAAAAAACACTAGTCTAAAGCATTCCTTGAAAAATGAGGAAATTTAAAAAACTTATGTCTTAATTATTTTACTGGAAAAATGAATGAGAAAGAATGATAATATTTTACAGCTGTTGATGGAATTCGACAATGGATTCGACAAGAGCTATGACAGAGTTTGGTAACCATTACTACTAGCTGGTCTCAAAATCATTAAACTGAATTTTAGAGCTATACCCTAAATAGGAGGTAACAAGAGTTGTGTAGCCACTCAAAAAGAGACACTAGTAAAACCTATGAATCAAGTCAATAAGATATATATATATATATATATATATATATATATATATTATATATATATATATATTCACATATCTACACACACATATATATATACATACATTAGTAAACGACCAGGGTTGATTTTTTACTAGGGCTGGGACCAGATTTGAAAATATGTGACCGGGGCTGCATAAACATTTATACATCCTAAAGTATATATTTTTAACTTAAAACTCATATTATATTTTGTATAGATATGTATATATAAACATCCTTATGATCAACATGATCATCATTACCATCATCATCATCATCATCATCATCATCATCATCATCATCATCATCATCATCATCATCATCATCATCATCATCATCATCATCATCATTATCAACATAAAAACGGAAAGCTTGAAGATGATGATGACAATTATGATGATGATCATCATTATCATCATGATCACTATCATCATGTTTATCATGATCATCATGTTTATCATGATCATCATAATCATCATGATCATCATGATCATCATGATAATCATAAGGCTTTAGCCTTCCCTTTTAAGCTGTTTCTCTAATATAAACAATCTAGAGCATTTTCATTCCTAACTAAAGCTCATTTATACAATATAAGGCACTCTCTTCAAATTTTCTTACTTCTACCACAACCATTTTCTACTGAAGCTGCTACCACTCTACATGTTGATACCTAAATTACTTTAACCTTTTCAAACAAATGTTGTTTGATACAATGTTTTTTCTAATCTGCCTAAGATTATGCCTTCTTTTCTTGTCTAGCCACAGTTTATGCCTTCTTTTCTTGTCTAACCACAAGATGATCAGATTAATGAGTCGCACCACACATTAATCTGATCATCTTCAATCAAATACTACACCATATAAATACTAAAGTTTATATAACAATGAAAGGATATTGTATGCCAGCATCTAATAGCAAACAGATATATTTATATCCATAATATGTGTGCAAAAAGTGCATCTTGGAAGCTTTTATTGCTTCTGGAATAAAAGTTTGGCAGTTTTTATTTCTTCTCTTCAGTTTTAAGTTAAGCCTCATTCTACTCCACATTTTTCAACATAAATTAAACTTTTTAATACATACTTTTTTCATTCTATTTATAAGAAGATCTCTCTTAAGAACAAATGTCCGTTTTATTATTGCAATAAGCTAATGTAAATACATTGTAAATAACCTAATGTATAAATAAAGTCCTGTTTGATGTAAATCTCTGTTATTCTCAGTTTACTAAATCTTGTATCTTATCTCAGATGTTAGGTACTAGAGACTTTTGGTTAGATTTCAACAGTGTCATTAACTAAAGTCTAACATTTAATCTCTAATCTTTTTCTAATCTTTTTTTTAATCTTTTTACTTTTCCTCAGAGTAAAGAGTAAAAGAAATAAATAAATAAAGTAAAACAGAGCTATTTACAAAGAAACTTACAAAAACTCTTGTTTGACTCTCGAATATAATGGCCGTATTCTTCCTGACAGTTAAACAGATTAACCCATTGTTAAACATCAAAATTGCTCTGGCTTCTAATACTAAAATTAACTTTCAAACACTTTTACAGTTTGTGCTTCACACAAGATTTCCATTATAGTCTTAAAAAGTGTTTTCCAGAACTCTCTTCAATTTTTGCTAAACTTTTATAAAGTGCTAAATAAGTGGTTCCAATTTTTGAAAACTCTATAAAACACTTTGACCTCTCCAAGTATCCTACAATTACTCTTCGCTCTGTTATTAGTTTCTTATAAGTTTCTATGTAAAGGTTCTGAGGTTATTAAATTATTTCTTTTTAACTGCAGTAGTAAAGTTATTCTTGAAAGCTTACTCTCTTCTTTATTTCAAGTAACTTTAAGGTTCTATGTTTGCTCCTGTATTATTTCTTATCTACAGTAACAATCTTAATGAAATCTAAAGTGACTCTATTTGCTGATGACTCAACTTTATACTCTTGTCTTAACAAAAAATCTTCACTCTATAATTGCTCATAAGAAGCAGCCAATTTTAAATCTGATCTCTCTTCTGTAACAACCAAAGGCTTGCAGTGGCTTATGGGTTTAAATTCTGGACTTAAAATCCATAACTTTTGGCAGACAAAAGAACTCAATTATTTACTGCAAAAAATATTGCAATATTGTTGGCATTCCTATATTCACAAATATTAACCCTCTTACTCTCAGACAAAGTCTAAAAGCACATTGTAAATGTTAGACCTGCTTTATCTGCCAAGCTTGAGTCACTCTCCCATTGTTATAAGGTTGCATTTCTGGCTTTTTTCTACTAATACAATCATGGTTAATGCTCAAACGAGCTATTATCTCTATAACAATAAACCAAAACTCATTCTCGCTTGGCTATTTATTCAATAAGTTTTTGTCTCTTCATGCTATAAAAACTTTTCAAAGCATGATAATTAATCCAGTTTTTTTCTTTAAACATCAAAAAAACCTTATCCAACTTTTTTTCCTTTTTTTATACAACTTACAACTTTTTATGCCTTTAGTTATATGTTTTCTAGTATTTTAACTGATTAAAATCTATATTAAATTCTTTAAAATCTATTTTAAAATAACTCATTACTTATTAGTGGTTGCTTGAAATCTTGTTGGAAGTAAATTAGAGTTTAAAAATGTATGCCAGTATTTAATAAATAGTAAATATAAGCATAAAATTATAATATATTAAGTATTATAAATTTTTTCTAGCCCCGGCTACAATCCCTATTAAATCTCATAATTTTGTCGGAACCGGAGCTGGGTTTGCAAAAAGTCATATTTTTAGCCAAGCCCAGGCCCTGGTCACTTAATAACATATATCAATATAAAAAATACAATATACCATAGCTACCAGAAGTTGGTCTTATATTGCCATTATACTTATCGAGTAGAGCTTGTAAAGATTTAATTAGTTCTGCCTGTCGTGTTGCAACACTTTGTGTATATTTTGAAGAGTCGTGTTCTTTAAAAACAAATAAACAATTCAAGTAAAAAAAAATTATTTAAAAAATCAAAAAAAAAAATTAAAAAAAGACATTCAAAAAAATTTCAATAAACCTTTAAACTGTCCTGTTTCTTCAAGTTTATTTTCTTTACCCATTGTTACAACAGAGCCATCAATATTATCTAACATTTTTTTTAGCCCTTCAGTTTGTTGACAAATTCTATCATAAAATCCTTGCAAATTAGATTGATGATTGGCTATTTGAGAAGAAATGTGTAAAGTTTGATCCTCTAGTTTATCATAGAGAGTGCGAACATTAAAATTTTCCAAAATTCCACTTTGAATAGGAAGAGTATATTCATCATATAAAACATGAGGAGTGTCAGCTGAGTATCCATCAGGTGCATCATTAACACCTGGTAATGGAACTACAAGCAAAGGTGCACCAAGTGATTTATATTTTGACCGAAGAAATGATATTGGAACAATACCTGTAATAAAAACATTGATATAATAATTAAAAAAAATTAAAATAATAATCAAAAAAATTGAGCAGTACTTCTTATCAAAAAAAATTATTACCCATAGCTCTCGGTCTTTATTAGGAATTACCTATAGCTCTCGGTCTTAAATTAGGACTTACCCATAGCTCTCGGTCTTAAATTAGGACTTACCCATAGCTCTTGGTCTCCATAATATAGCAAGTATAACAAAAACAAACACAATTATTAATATGAGACCAATAATAATCCATATTGATTCCCAGTTTGGAGATTCATTTAATGACTAGAAACAAAATAACAATAAAAATTTGCTAAAAGTTTAAAAATATTTTGTTGTTACAATTATACAGTTAACTGTTTTTAACAATATTACTGTACTATTCATTTTTCAACAAATTTTAAAACTTTAGAAAACATTTAAAAAGGAAGAAGTACAAGAGTTCAGAGATGATGTCACAACTGATAACAAAAAACTGAAATAAAGGTAAGTAGGACAAGCAATAACTACACATGAAGAAGATTGTTACATAAGCAGGAGATCTATTACAGCAAAGAATAATTTAGATTTTTACATTATTCTTCTTTTTGTAAAAATAATTCTAGATGCTAATTTCATAAATTAGCATCTAGCATTAGATTTCGCTAGTATATTCTGTGTCTGCAGAATATACTAGCAAAAACAAATCCAATTTTGATGTTACTGTAGTAGTAAAAACTTTTGACACCCCCAAAATGATTCTCTAATCTTTACAAAAGTTAAGTTTATAAAAATAAAATATAATATATATGTACCTTTTCCAAAATCTATTTCATTATTTCTTTAACTATTTTTTTTTTATATTTAAGATTTTTATCTTCATTTTTATTAAGTTTTAATTAACAAAAGAACTTTTAAAGTTAATCAAAGAGTCAGCAGTGTAATGAAATAAAATTGTAATTAAATTAATGTTTAAATATTTTTAGTTAAAAATTGTAACTAACCTAATCTTAGGAGATTTATTCATTTAAATTAAAATATGTATTAATTTGTTATAAAAATCTTTTTTTTAAAGCATGAAAATTAGGACAACTGTTATAAAAAAGTTGTTTTCAAAGCTTAAAATTTTTTTACAAACACAAAAAGAAAAAAATTTATTTTTAAAATTTCTTGCTTATGAATGGCGCCTTTAAATATTTTTCACAATAATGATTTGTAATCAAAGCTAAAGTTGTTTGCAAATATGCAAGTGGCTACTGCAGATATAGTATACAATGAAAACTATTAGTTAAGAAGTTTATAATTGATTTTAGCTTAGTACTGTAATACTGAAGTTAGAAAATTAATTTGGGGTAAGCTATAGGTTAATATAAACAATATCAGCTATTTTTTTAGTAGTCCATATGTTTAAGATTGTCAACATCTAAGTACACTTGGACCTGTAATTTAAAAAAAATGCTTTGACGAACAAAAGTGATTTTATGCATTAGTAAGTAGTCTGAGATTCTTTGAGATATAGTACAGTAGCCAATTTTTCTTTTTCAACTTAAATGCAACTTTAATAATAATTGTCATTATTCATTACTAAGATATTTTGCTTACTTTAATTTTTAAAACTTTATATATATATATATATATATATATATATATATATATATATATATATATATATATATATATATATATATATATATATATATATATATATATATATATATATATATATATATATATATATATATGTATATATATATATATATATATATATATATATATATATATATATATATATATATATATATATATATATATATATATATATGTATATATATATATACGCTAAAAAAACGTATGAATTTAGGTAGGAAAAAAAACTACTGAAAATATATATCCATATATTAAACTCAAATAATTACTATTTTCACACAAATTTTTTGTTTCACACAAATTTTGTTTAATTTAATTTATTTATTTTATGTGGTTAAATAAATGGATAATATATATATATATATATATATATATATATATATATATATATATATATATATATATATATATATATATATATATATATATATATATATATATATATATATATATATTAAACTCTAATAATTACCATTTTCACACCAATTCCAAACTTTGTTAAAACTAAGGGTGTTGATGCCTCAATTCTCACAGGACAATAGCTTCCTCTATCCGGAACATAAACAATAGTCTCTCTTCTGTTTTCTGCATTATCATAAAACACGTAAGTCCCAGGTTCAGAAAAAACATTTAAAAATGAATTTATATTTAGGCTGGTGGCCTGAATAAGCATATTTAGTTGTCGAAACTGCCCATAGTCAAAGCTAGGATTTGTATTAAAAAGGTGGTTTTTATTATATTGTGGGTAATTGCTTGATGATCTGTTTAGGTGGTTAATATTTATTTTAAAAAAGACTACTTGACCAACATTAACACATATAACTGGAGATCTTATACTTTGCTGAGCAGAAAAATCATCCAAACTCCGCCTTATTCTAGAAACACTCTTGTTTAATGAAATGTCTTGCACAAAACTTAATACTTCTTCAGTAGTGGTTGGTAAAAAACCAAAATTTCCTTCATTTTGAAATTCTGCAAATTCAACTTTTCTTAGAACATAATCAAAATCATTTATACCATACTCATTGAAAATAGGAATTGATGTAGAATTTCCAGAATTACTAACAGTCATATAAAGAACACCTGATATTTGACGTTGGATACTGACAACTGGAGATACTGCAAGACATGAAGAATTACAAACTTGGTTCAACATAACATAACTTTTACATGAACATCTTCCATCTGTTACATTAAAATATCCACCATCAGGTCCGCACAATGGAACGCAGTAATCTGAGCTTATTAAGTTTATATCAACACATTGCAATGTATTTGAATCTCTTAGCATTCCAGCTTGACATCGATCAGCAACCTAAAAAATTATTTTGAAAAAGACAAATTTTAAAAGATACATATCAATTTTAAATTAATTTTAGTTTTTGCAACTTAATGTGTTCTAAATAATAAAATTATACTGAATTTAAAAGTTTTTTCAATAAAAAATATTTTTAAGAGTACATCAAAACCCTTAAACATTGATGGGTCTTTAATAAAAATACAAATAAAAATGTTTTTTAAAAGTATGTCTCATTGGGTCTCAAATAAAGTGAAATTATATGAAAACTATTTTAGATTTTACTGCATAGCAATTGAAACTAAAAATTACAAAAATGACAAAAATCTTACAAGTTTTTTTTAATATAATTTTTTATTATTATAATTTTTATAAAATCAGGCTTGGTAAGGAAGCCGGTGCGATTGCACTCGATAATTGACCACGGAAATATTATTTAGTTGCGAAAAGCCAGCCAGATTTTTTAGTCGTTTTGAGAACATTTCAAAAACAAACAAAAAAGCGCAGTAAGATTAACTGGACCGATGAGAGACAGTTAAAAAAAGAAAAATAGCTTTTAACGCGAAAAAACTTTAAGCAAAATAAATGTATTAAAGCAATTATTTTTAAAACGCCGCTCTTTTATAATTTTTTTAATAAAATTAAGCGACATTTTTTATATAAAGTAACAACTATAAAGAAACAAATGCTCTTCGATTTATCAAAGAGTATATATAATTTTATTTATATACTTATGTCTTATTTCCAGTTTTTATTTATATACTTATGTATTATTTCTTATTTATATACTTATGTCTTATTTCTTAGTAAGATGAACAAATAAAATAATCAAATCATTGAGTTACTGTAGAAATTCAATTAGCTAGATAGAAATTTAAAAAAATGTTAAATTACATTGCGAGGAGGAAGCGGAACTCTTCACAATACTGCTGATGATGTTTTAGTAAGTGGGCTTAATAATTTTAATTAGTATTTAAAACAGAAAAAAGTAACTCTATGTATAACGAGTTTGTAAGAATGGCTGAAGCAAAAATAATAGAAGTTAGTAAACCAATTTCTAAGAACTTAAAAACTTTTCTTTTTTAGGAGAAATAATCAGTTATCGGGTACACTGAGGAAAATGGATTAGTGGTTAAAATTATTTGTATTAACTTTGACAATTATTAATAATTTCATTAAAAATGCAGTTATTATTGAAAGTATTTTTGTTTACAAAATCAATCGCACATATTGCTTTAAAAGATTACATTTGAATAAAATACACATACATAAAATTACATACATAAAAAATACATACATAAAAATTCATTACATACATAAAAATACTTTACATACATAAAAATACATTGCATACATAAAAAATACATCCCTTGTATATAAAAAATTAGAATATACTAATAAAATCTATAATATATTTACAAAACGTTGACAAGTTAAAAAATATAAATTAAAAACATTTATTATTGTAAACAAATATTGTTAGTTTAAAACATTTATAGCTTTGTAGATGTGGCTCCTAGAATTAAAATAATAGTTCGTTTGATATTCTTAAAATAATTTATGTTAGAAATCTCAACAAAAACGTAACAAAATTCAAATAATACAATTTTTAAAAATATTTCAACAGAATAATCAGGACATTCAGCTATAATTTTTTTGAATACTCTAGATATTTCGGTTAGTATTTTTTGAACTAATAGAATTAGTTGTTCGTAGATTTGGCGGGTTTTTTGTGTTCGCGAATATTCTTTTTTTTATTTTTCCATACTAAGATGTTTGAGAACATTCAAGTTTATGTATGTTTCCATGTAAGTCCGTAAAACAAAATAATTTAAAATTTACGATAAAATAAACTTATTATTTTGCGGACAAACAAGGAAACATACAAAAACTTAAATGTTCTCAAACAAACAAAACCTGTTTTTCTGTTTAAAATAAAACCTCAAAATCTTGTTCTACTAAACTATTGTCTTCTACTAAATATTACATATTAGTTTTAAAATTCTAAATTTTGATGGTTAAAAATTTAAATTGTAAAAGAATTTAAAATAAAAAATGTTTTAAAATAAATTAAAATACAATGGATATTATAATGGTTAATAATGAAGTTAATAAATAATTTGGAGTATAAAATAAACCTTTTAACAAAATTTTCATTAAAATTAATAAAACAATAATTATAATATGTTAAAATTACTAGTATTATTTTTAGTAATAAAAATAAACATAAAGTCAACGCTTAAAATGTACTGCATTTGAAATTAAACAATGGAAATAATTAGTTAAATTTTTTGAAAATATTCTCTTACCAATTTCTGACAAGATTTATCACTGTTTCCTTCAACCAACTTGATGTTAGTGACATCATAATAAACATATCCACTTTCGCATACACAAGAACCATCTGAAACTTGAAATGAACGATGAAGTCCTTTACATGTACACTTTAACTGACCTTCTATGCTTGTTGAGCTACTACCGCATGGACGACAGGCCTCCATTCCTTTAAGATTGTTAAATGTATTTACTGGACATGGCAAGCAGTCACTTGATTTACTTGCTTTTGTATGATTTCCATACATACCTGGTTGACATGGTATCTATATATAAAAAAAAAAAAAAAAAAAAAAAAAATGTTTATAAGTAAAATATTTGAAAAATTAATAACTAATTCTAGGAAAACTTTCCTTTACTTTTCTAAAACAATTACATCTTTAAGAAAACTAAAAAAAATTTAAGTTTATATAAGGTGCATGAAAAAACGAAATATCTATTTAATTATATTTAAATCTATAATTATAAATTAATGAAAAAATCTAATAATATGTATAGTATAATAGTATATAATATAGTTATAATGTCAGTGACAGATTAAGCACATGAGCGGCCTAAGACCAATAATTCTGCACGGCCATTATAGAAAAAACTAAATTAAACCCCTGGACGCTATAATAATTGTCCTTTTATTTCGCTTTTTTTCTTTTCTAAAAATTGTCAGCCATGGTACATATTTTAGGCTACAATATTTAAGATTCTAAAACTAAAATTAGTAGTTTTTCTATGATAGCGTACCATTACCTATAACAAAATGCAAAAAAAAAAACAAAAACAGCCAGGTATATAATAAAACATATTTTAGTTTAAATTTTATTTTAAACACAAATAAAATTATTGAACCACTTTTTTCTCAATTTCTTCATAACAAATTTGCCACTTTATAAAAATTTATTTCATTTAAAACGACACACTAAATAGAGATCAGTATTCCATTATGTGTCACGGTTGATCTTAGTTTATTCTTAATTCAACTTTAAAAAAGCTTTTTCTCCTGTACAATTGGATATCATCATATCTCAAATAAATATGGAATGTAATTTCAACATTGGGAAATGTTTTCTTTTACCCCAAATACCATCAAACCTAATTTTATCTATGCTATGCAAATGTACATCAAATAAAAAAAACATATATCAAACAAAAATCATTTTATGTATGTTAGGATTGCTTTAGTTCAAAAGACTTTTAAACAATTTAAATAAAATATTTACTTAAATAAAATACTTACACACTTTGAATACACTCAGAAAAAATGATAATGCCAGTTTATTTTAGAACTAAATTAAAAATTATATTTTCTTTTGCATGGCTTCCCTGAGAAGTAACAACTTCGTAAGGTGATATTTTTATATAATTAGACACTATATAAATAATAAAAATTTTAGACCCCCCATAATTGTGCAACCTAAAACCATGGCCTCATTTGCCTCAATGATAATCCGCTACTGTATAATGTAAATAATAGTAATAATAGGTATAATAGCAAACATTTATTATTATAAAAATATTATAAAATAGAATTCAAAGTAACTAAAATATTTTTATACTTATACATGCTTATTTACTTATAATTATGTCATGCAGATTATGCATTATCGGCAGATTATGTCATGCATTAAAAAGCTCTAATAGAACAATTATTAATTTGAAGATTTCTATAACAACTATTAAATTATAGCTTTGTATAAGTGTATTTTTTATTTAAAATTTTTTTTTAATTATTTATAGTTCATGCAGATTTATTGATCAAAAATGCAGAGAACATTATAAAACTTTATTGATATGTTAAATTTTTTTTTAATACTATTGAACATTTACTTAAATAAATTTATTTTATAAAATCCAATTACCAGTTAAAATTTTGAATAAATATTCTTATACAATAAACAAACAAAAAAATATTTTTATCAAACTTTACATAAATCTAAAACAATTACTCTAAATAAAAACATTTTTTACCCCTTCAGCAGAAGCCTTCGGACAGTAAAAACCTTTAGGACAAACATGCTTTTTAGGATCTTCAGTTCCTTGAGGACATATATAACCTTCAGGACATTCCAAACAACTTAGTCTAGAAATTTCATTGCCATAAAAACCAGCAGGACATATCATGCAAGCAATATCATGAGATGTACGATTGCCAGATATTGCTAAAGCTTTATAACCTAAGTTACATATTTGGGGAGAAGAACTACCTGGAGGGCAGTAATAAGGAAACTCACAGATTTTAGGAGTGTCTGTTCCATTAGAACAATAAAAACCACCTGCAAAAATTATACAACATAGTATATGTATAACACAACAACAAAAAGTTAGGTATAACAACATTTTTTGTTATTATACATAATATATCATAATTATACATAATATACCATAATTATACTCAGCATATCATAATTATATATATCATAATTTTAAATCATATTAAAAACAATGTTAAAATAGTTATTTTATTATAAAAATATTTACCTGGACAAAGAATAGGATCTCCAGTCAACTCAGGACAATAATATCCCTCAATACATTTTATTGGAATTTCTGATCCAATTTTACAAAAGAAACCAGAAGTACATGGAGTTCCATAAATATTTTCAGATTTAAATGGACAGTAGAACTTAGCTGGGCATGGTGAGCAATCTGAACCATTCCTTGCACCAGGTATAAGTCTCCTAGTTCCTGGTGGACAATATTGAGGGCCCTGACCTTCTAAGCAGTAAAATCCAATAGGACATTCACTATATGAATAATCAGACATACCAGAAATATTGCAATAGTAACCTGCTGGACATGGTAAGCAATCTTGCAGTGCTTTACTTCCAAATTTATTTTGATAATAGTTTATTGGACAATTGGTTGGAGGTTGCCCTTCTTCACAATATTTACCCAGAGGGCATTGGAGAATAGTTGAATTTCCTAAGTTAAGATTTTTTCTCTTTAGGAAATGGTATTTATTAAAATTAATTTGAAAATAACATTACAAACAAGAAAAAACTAAAATAAATCAAACTGAAATGTACTAAAACACTATTATACTAACATAAAGTTCAATGTAATTCACTAACATGCTAAAACAATAATTTTTTATGTATATTAAGTTTATTATTCAATTAATGTTTACAAGTGCTGTTCATTTGATAAAAAACTTTCACCTTTTTTTAACTAAAAACTACAAAAAGTAAAAAAAGTAAATTAAAAAGACCAAATGTTTTTAGAGTGTTGTTTGAACTTAAATACACATAATGCTGGTTTAAATTTTTTTTTATGTCATCTATTTTCTAATAAATTGCACAACAAATAAATGCAATGCTATCTATATATTATATTGTCATTGGCTGTGGTCATAAAATTAAAACTTCTGCTCAATGTAGTTCTACAATCTTTCGACATATGTTGTCAGGGTTTGCACCCTAAAATACATATATATTATATCAACTAGTGTATTAAAATTGTATTATTGTGGGCAGCATTTTGTTAAAATAATTTAAAAAAATAATATATGTCATTAACCTTATAATATGTTATTTTCTTACGTAAAACACAACAAGATATTCCAATTTCTTTTACAAAAAAACTCTTTTACTTTACAAATTAAAAAATAATAAAACTCATTTTTATGTTGTTTATTTGTTATTGTATATTATATCAATTTATGCATTTTATGTATTATATTAAATTTTTCTTTTTTTTCTTGCCTCTTGCCTATAACATAATGATGATGGGTACAATTCATGATGTTTTACTTGTTTTATTATTAGTAACAGTTTTGTTGAATATACGCAATTTATGTTGTTTTCTTGTTCACTAAAAACCACTTCCTTTCTTTCATATGCTTTATTTCTTCCCTCAACATGAAACGTAGGCATAATCTTAATTTATATATACACACGTATATTCATAACTAAAAATTTTTTATTATTTTTTTTACTCTAATTCACTCCCAACAAGCTCCAAGCAGCCACTATCAAGTTGGAAGTTACTAGAAAACAGTTATTAGTTACAAAGAACAGAATTAAAGAGCAAGGAAACAATGAACTTGAAAAGTTGTAGGTTGTATGTACCAGGAAAGCATAAAGATGAAAGAGTTCCAAAGGGTTGAAGTTTGGGGGAGAGGGGAACTAGACAAATAAAACTTTTAAGAGCATGCATGGACAGATACAGTAAAAGGATATGACTCAAGCTAGGCAGATAAACAGGTCCAAGTACATTTAAAATGCATTTTTTGACTTGTCTAGAAAAGAAAGAGAAGAACATCAAGAGAAGAATCAAGAGTAAGATAATGGCAAGCACAATAAAAAGAAGCAACCATAGCAGATGCTAACTCTGCAATTGATTACATATATGGTTTCCATGAGGTCAATAGTGAATGATAATCCAAGAAGACCTAAAGAGGAAGACTGAGTGAGAAGGTGGCTCTCAGTATAGAAACGTCCACAATATGTTACAAGAGTTGTATGTAGTTGCCCCTATCAAGGAGGCAGAAGCAAAAATCTATGAGTAGAGTCAATAAGATCCAGCATTCATTATCTTAGTCAGGGAACAATGCAACACAAGTTTACATATATACCAGTCTAATAGATGGAGAAGGCATTCAAGGCTGGTCAACAGAAACATTATGCTTACCCTTAAAGTCTTTGCCTTTTACAAGACAGTAGATGGATGCAGCTAACATCTGTCCGAGTTTAGTATTTTTATCAAGGAATCATCTCTAGCCTTTACTCAATCAAGAGCCTCAAGGGATGAAGATAGATATATGAAGATTAGCATTAGATGATTAGCAAACTTGAAAATTTTTTTTTAGATTTAAGCGCCTTTTATAATTCTTTCAATATTTTTTGTGCAGCTATAGCTTACTTTAATAGTGTTTCTGTTAAAATTTTGTTTAATTTATTAAAGGGAGGGAAAAGTTTGTCTACTAATTTTAAAAACGCTTTTCCAATATTTGTTGAAACATTTTTACTTTACTGTACGCAGGATTATGTAATGATGAAGGTTGAACCAAATTATACTTTTTTATTTTGCTTTTTTGCAATTTTTTTTTTTTCAAATTTTAGCTTGAAATTTTTAAATGCATTTTTTTTTAAAGAGCGTCTAAATATACACATTTGGAGAAATTAAAAATATTTTCATTAGAAGAGTTTTGATTTAGTTTATTTTTAATTGAAATAGGAATTCATTTTAAGATTTTAGGGAAATTAATATACGATAATTCATCATTAGGTTTTTTATAAGGCCTATAAGAAATTTTCAAGAAGTTGAATGCGACATCAAGAAAATTCACAATTTTTAAATTAATGTTTGTATTAATTTGTAAGCCAATGGTTTTGAAAATTTTTATAGTATTTTTTCTGATTTTGTCTAGTTGAGGCCCTGATTTTTTTTTTTGCATTATTATTAAATCATTATCGCAATACAAGCATCATAACTCCAATGTAACTTTCCATTGTTACACCCAAGTGTTAAAACTGCAATGTCTAGTTGTTAAAAAAAAGTAAAATTTTTCTGCAATGTTTAATTAGATGAATAGTGTTGTCTGTAAATTTAGTGTTGATTATTCCAAATTTTATTGTTTTGTCTACAATTTCTGCTGTGAAGGGTAAAAATCATTAGTATTAAATTATATAAATGTGCATTCATTTTTATTACTAATTTTAGAAAGCCAATTTATAACATCAGTGGTACTTTTCTACTGTTGCAAATTTAATTTTTTTCAAATAATATTTTTCTTTGCCTAATTTAATTTTATTAATGTGCCCTAGTTCATTCTTTGAAGGTACTAGCACTACAAGGGAGTTTATTTTGAAAATTTGGTTTATGATTTTTTTGGTATTTTTTTGGTATAATAAAGGCTTGTGCTGGCAATTTTTTTTATTTATTATTTTTTATTTATTTTTAATTATTTTTAAATTAATTGTTTTAGCAATGCTTTTGCCTTCTAAATTGATTGTATTTCCCAAGTTTTTAGTGGCTTTTGCATAATTATTAGAAATATTATCGCACAGTATTTTATAATGATTATCTGGAGCAATTTGGTATTTGTTCCTTGTTTTATCAGCAAAAACTAAAATAATAGAGTTTGATTTTATATTATTAATGTCTAACTTGAGTTCTTTTTGAAAATCATTGTTAATATTTCAAAATTTCATTGTTTTAATCAAGTTTAGTAAATCATTTTCAAAATTTTCTAGGTTGGAATAAATTGTGGGGCGTTTTTTGTTTTGAATCCAAAATTTTCTTTTTGTTTATTTTCAATTATAGGATTTTTATTAGTTTCAGATTCTAAGAAAAAATGGACCAATAAATTCTTTTAATAAAGTGTTCTAATTTTTTTAAATTTTAATTCTTTTAATTTCTAATTTTTCAACTAAAGAAATAGTATAACTTTTTTTTGTCTATTTTTTACGGGATATTTTTACGGGAGTAATTAAAATTGTTAGTTTCCATGTTTAAAAAGACATTTAAGAGTGGTCAACAATTATAAACATGGTGATATAACATGTTATATAAATTGTATGTATTTAACTAATAGAGTGCTCAATGTTCTTAAAGAACAGTTAATTGAATTAAGGAACATCTTGAAGTAGCTATAATAGTTAGTAAAAACACTTATCTAATTGTTAAGTATTATCAGGATTGTTTTGTGAGGAAACAATGCATTTGTAAATAATATTTTTTGATAAGCATTTGCATTCATAGGGTAGTCAATTTTTTACTTGCAGTTACAATTTTTAAAAATTTTTTCTTTAAAAATTACTGAAAATACTGAAAATTTTAATTAAAAGCAAAATATTGACTGCCCTATGAATGATAAACAATATATTAGCTTAACCGAGGGCAAATGGAAAAATATTATGCCAACAACAAACAATCTTTTAAACATAAAAAATTCTCAAAAGAGAATATGCTGTCAAAATATATTAGGCAACTAAAGAAAAAAACTATGAATTTCAAATTAAACTAGTCTATTCTAAAAATGACACCTGTCTATAATAATATTTCTAAAAAATGCATACTTATATTAAATGTATACAAATTTTTCTTGTAAATGTTTACAAGGAAAATTTGAAATTATTTACTCATTTGGATCAAGGAAATTTAATAAACAAAAAATCTGAATTATTTCTACAAACATGAGAATAAGTCCTTTTAAAAAATTATACAATCAAATGACCAGACTAAAATTATCCTAATTTTAAAGAATTCTTTTTATGAATAATTGTTTAATTTTAATGTAGTTGATGCAACTTTCTGGTTACAAAATAACTACAGTTATTACATTAATAATTATAACAATTCCCAACTTCTTACATTAATTTACATTCTCTGCTAAAATTGAACCTTGGATAACTTGAACTTGTTAAGTCAAACCATTTTTTTGTCCCTTTTCCATGAATTTTTTTGTACTCAAACTTTTTGTATGGGAATAAAAGATGTTAACATAATTTAAAAAATTTTTAAAAAAAGATGCCATTTCATATAAAACATAAATACCTGTAGTCTAATATTTTATTTTTTTGTTGTATTTAGATTTGAACAGAATTGCTATCAGACGTAAAGTAACGCTATAATAAAACTGATAAAAGATAAATCATAATAAAACCATTAAAAAGCAACTAATATATATATATATATATATATATATATATATATATATATATATATATATATATATATATATTAGTGATGTACCGATATAACTTTTTTGGCCTATGCCAATACCGATGAATTAACTAATTAATAAACAGAGTTGGACCTGGTCTATCTGCTAAACTTGAGCCTCTTTCCCATTGTTGTTAAGTTGTATCTCTTTCTCTTTTCTACAAATACAATCATGGTTGCTACTCAAAGGATCTTTCATCTCTACTTCCATCAACCAAAACTCATTCTCACCTGACTCATCATTCATCAAAGTCTCA